TATATATATATATGTGTACTATGCGTGCATAATTTTTTTTTTACTTTTGTAAGGTATAAAGTCACATATACATAATTTGCGATTTGCGTCTCAAAATAATGGATCCAAGTCGAAATGTTTGTATTTATTTTTTTTTACTACATGGCAATGATTACGGCGGATATTTTAGCTGTAAAAGGCCGTTTCCCTTGATTCCTATCATTAAATTAGAAGTAATCCATGTTGGGCAGTTGTAGATCCATGCAAACAGAAGCCGTCCTTCCACTGTTTACCCAGTCCTCAGTTGAGTTTAAGTTCTTACCGCATATTAACGCGCCTCCAGTGAAACGCAAACAAGGAAAAAAATGACCTAGTTTTTTATTTATGAAAATAGTTGTATATTTTTTAAATACTTAATTAATTAGCTGAGATTATAAAGAAAATTATGAACCATTTTATTAAATGTTATTTTCCATATTTTAAAGCGTTAATTATATCTCATGGATGATTGTGGTTGAATAAGGTGTTAGAAAAATAAATCAACTATCTTAAATGATAAAACTATTTTATAAAAACTAGAAATGCCGTCTATAGACCACTATATTTGTTTATTTCCAGGGTGTCTGTATATTTAGCCCAAACCAATTTGTTTGTTTTGTGTTGCGTAGGATGGCGCCGCTCTTTATCTTCCTGAAGTGAGTATTTAGTAAATTAGAGGTTTAAATGTCTGTAAGGTTTCTCTGGTGTTCAGGCAGCAGCCCTGCAGAGGACAAAACTTTTAAAGGATTTTCTACTGCGAAGCTCAAGTCATCAATCTTGTTGAGATAAACCATTCAGGACACGACTAACGGGCCAAATGAGCGTGGAAGCGTGTAAAACAACTATCTAACATCTTCTCGGCGCAGTGGCTGGCTGTGAATTCAGGTCACGGCTCGTGTCAGAGGAATAAATCACAGCTCGGTGCAGCAGGACGCGCAGAGCGGAGCTGCTTCTCCCTAAAGCTGCGCTTTAAACATTTCACCATTTTACTGTTCTTCTTTCCAAAGCGCATTTGTTATTCTGGGCTGTTTATTTTGAAAAAGTCAGGGGGCAGTTTTCAGTGCGTCATGAGATTTTAAATCTTAGATTGTGTTTTTCTTTAGTGTAATAATAGCGGGGACCTTTGGCTGCCTTACCGTCTCTCTTTTCCTGCGTTCATCCCGGGCCTCCGTTTTTTTCAGTTCGGCTTTAAACGCCTGCGTGTCTCCGTGCTGGCCGTCCTTGTCCAGGATGTCCATCAGGTAGGAGATGTAGCTGGTGGCCAGCCGCAGAGTCTTGATCTTGGACAGCTTGGTGTCTGCCGGTACGTTGGGGATGCACTCCCTGAGCTCCGCGAAGGCCGAGTTGATGCTTTGGGTCCGCCGCCTCTCCTTGCGATTTGCGGTGGGTCTCCGCTTAATGGTGCGGGGGTGCGCGTGGTGATGGTGGTGATGCATGCCGACCGTGGCTCCGTTCACCGAGATGGTCCCGGGACCCGGGAGGAGGTGGTTTCCCGGTCCGTAGTGGTGGTGATGGCGCGCGTCCAGGCCGCCGGAGGAGTCGCCCCCGCTGTTGGTGTGATACTCCGGGCTGTAGCCCGGCGCGAGGCTGTAGTCTGTGGGGGACATGTCCGCGTGGCTGATCAGCCAGCTCGTGAAGTACGGAGGGGCACCGCTGTCCTCGTGGCACCGTCCGGCCGCCGCGTGCAGCGAATAGTGGTGGCTGTCGTGGTGGTGCATGATCGGGTGGTGAGGGTAGCCCGAGACCAGACTCATAGTCCTGCTCACTGTGGCACACTCCGGCGCGAGAACACACACTCACACACACTCACACACAAGCAGACAGACCTAAAAGGGGCCAAACAGATGCTGCAGGGTGGTGGGGGGGCGCCTTGGTTAAAATCCCTTCCGTGCAGATTTTTGCATCTTGGATAATATTCCCATCAGGGAATCCCCGCTCAGTATTCCCGGGACACTCACCGGGCCTGCAGGCCGCTCTCTGCTGCTGGAACAACTTCCTTGTTTTGAACGTCGCACTTCTTCATCTTTTGGTCGTGGTGAAGTAAGACTGCAGAGACTCTCTCACAGGAAAACAGACCTGGGCTCTTCCCTCTTCCCTCTCCTGCAGCTCATCTCCGTCAGTCAGCTGTCAACTGTCAGCAGCAGAGCTGTGCGCTAAGAGGGAGCAGCCTGAGCCGATCCTGGGTCACCCCTCTGAGACTGACTGATGAAGAGTCCGCCTGGCTACAAGAGAGAGGGAGGGAGAGAGGGAGAGAAAGGGAGGGAGGGTCAGAGAAAGAGAGAGAGCCAGAGGGGGGCTGATTCCAGAGGCTCCATGAAGTTGGTTGTCCCCTGATCGGGCCCCATGCATTTCCAGGCTCTGTATAACCCACTTGTCTTTAATGTCGATAGGCCTGCTAAGGAGGCCCGCTGGCACATGCGCAAACCCGCGCGCCCCTCAGCCATCCTTTTTACGCACGCGGCAAAATCTGATAGATCACCAATGAGGCGAGATGAAGTGATTGATAAACTGCAAGACAGTAAAAATGACTTTATTGAGACATGAGGTTCATGCAGCAGAAGCTTTGTTTATCTATTTAGTGTCTTTCTAGAAATTAAATATATTTAATGCGCGCGCAGACTGTTTTTTCTTTTTTATTTTTGCGATAACATTTATACCTGAAATTCCAATCGGTGGCGTGGATTTGAGATTATTATGTGAGATTATATTTGTTTTGTATTTTTTTCAGTGATGCTGTGGAAAACTGTCCAAAGTTTACATCTAAGTGATATTTGTCCATTTAAAGTTTTTTTTTAAATAGTTCCTATAAATTATGATCATATACGATTTTTTTTATTTCTTCAAAGCAAAAAAGTAAAATCCAATTTATTCTTTATATTATATGTAATAGATTCTCCCGCTCATTACGTATTTAATCAAATAATTTAAAGTGCTGATTAAATAAAAGCTACAAAACGCTGATGTAATAGTAAATAGCATATCATTGGTTGTAATGCTAGTAACAATAATAATAAGTGATCATACTTTATTATTATTTTTTATCATTATTTGTATTATTATTAGTAGTATTAGTATTATTATAATTATCATTATTTTGTAGTAATTAGTAGTCTTGTCCGTCGCGCTCAGCCCTAAGGCTGTCCCTGTCTCTGTTTGGCTCACAGCGCGCATGGATATCAGAGTTCTTTCCTTATTGGCGCTTTTTTTTTACGCTTTATTTTGATCTACGTGCTAAAAATCAAAGACTATTCCCGACTTTTTTCATAATTACCACAGCTTATATCCCTTTTACGTAATTTTAAACAATTAAATAAACCAAGATGATCCACTCCCTTCTTATATAAACGCACCAGTGTTGATCTTGAAATTAACTAAATAAATTAAACCTTTCCACTCATTTTAAAGCCTATTTATAAAGCAAGATTAGTTTACAAAAGTGCAGAAAACCATAACAAAGAAAACGCTCTTCCAGAGGACAGTAGAGATGAGTTAGAAATAATGAAATATTTTCACCAGGCTGGTGAATCAGTACCAGTTCACTGTAGTGCTGTTGGTATGGAGGCCTGGAGGGTTTCAAGCTAACTTATGTTTTTTCCTTTTTCTGCAGAGCATTCAGCAGCCCTGCATATAATATGACCAGCTGACTCTAAAGCAGCTTTTTCTTTTATGCTGTTACTCTAAAAAACTTGTCAATGGAGATCAAAGGAATAATGACGTTTGGAAATAACGTTCTGGAAAAGTTTTTACTAAAGCAGCAAAAATACTAAAACCCAATACTAATAAAAATATTTTGATTTAAAAAAAAAAAAAAAACATTCCATTTGACTACCAACCAAAGCTTTTCAATTACAAGGTTGGACAAGCAAAAATAAAAATAAAATGATAAATAAAAAGTAGAAAGAGAAATTAGCAGCCCCATTCAAAACATACTCCCTACTAAGCACACCAGGTCTAGTTCATAAAAGCACCTTACACAGGCCACACAAAACAGTTTCATGTAAAGGCAAATAAATATACATACATATATATATATATATACAAATAAATATACATTACTCTATATACATAAATATATATGTATGTATATAATTTAATTTAATTCAGCTTATTTATATAGCGCCAATTTATAACACATCACAAGGCACTTTAGGGTTCATATAGTTTATATACTGTACATTTCAGTTTATATATATATATATATA